TTCACTATGCATACCAAATGCAAGCTTATGCTTGGAGGTTGGCTTTAGTTTCAAATGCGGTGTGAGCCTAGATATAAATATTTAACTCTTGGTTTAATTTGCTATTTATTTCAGTTGTGTTAAGCCTGTTCCTCTGATGGCTGATTAAGAATCTAGATGGAAAAGGGCCTATATTCAAAAGTTTAGACTTACTGTATAGGTCTTCTCCTATATACTCTGGATTATGACAATGGTAAAAGGACCATAGTTGATATGTAATTCTGTTTTTGAAAAGGCCACAAACTCAACTGTCCAAGAAAAATTGGAAGAGGGTTACCTCAATCATTTATTTGCCTAAAGCATGGGACTGTTTAATGCTTTATCTTCCAGCCTACTATTAGTCAGATATCAAAACATGCTTTTACTCAGCCTGCCTATTGACAGGACACTGAAGAAGTAGAGATAGACATTATATTTCCATATTGTTCCTTTTATAGGGAAGTTGTCATTATTATCATTATTTCAATTGTAATTATTTTTTGGGGGGTAAAAATCCAGGAAGAGATGAATTCATATTTTTCTTTTTTGCTTGATAAATATCCATATTTTTCTAATACAGTAGCCACATTTTGTGCCACAGACAGCAGCTGATCAAAGTTAATATATCTGGGCAGAAGATGAGATAAGTCAATATTCTAAGATGTCTAGAATCCTTGTCTAGTCTTAGAATCCTAAAATGTCAGCTAGAGATGTATGTATATAAAATCTGTATTTTGGAAAAAGTGAATTGGATGCTCCTTTTTCAAAAATTCATGCCTCATGGTATTGTTGGTCAAGAGAAACAAACCAAGAATCACACTATCTTTTCTTATGTTCCTCCCTTATATTAGAATATTGACAGAAGATCAAGCCAAGGCCAATATATGTTCTTTATGACATTGTCTGAGACATTAAGGTAAACAACAATAATTTGGATTATTTGCGTAATTAAATGTATAAACTGATTAGTTTATACATTTAGTTTTCCAGACAGAAATCATTATTTTGCAGGTATTTCCTTCCCTGGTTCATTTTGACTACTAGCTGGATACCCGTGCTTCGCTATGAAACTATGTGATCGGATTTGATAAATCGACACTTAAAGCTCTAAAATTAATGAGTAGTTACGATCAGCCTCTCCTCTCCCCTTCTCTCCCTGAGCTTTGCTCCACAGAACCCTATCCTACCCTATCCCCCTTCTCTCTCTCAGGCTTGCCCCACAGAAACATCTCCTATCCTATCCCCTTCTCTCCCTCAGGCTTGCCCCACAGAAATGTCTCCTATCCTATCCCCTTCTCTCCCTCAGGCTTGCTCCACAGAAGCCTCCCCTATCTTATCCCCTTCTCTCCCTCAGCCTTGCCCCACAGGAGCCTCCCCTATCCTATCCTCTGATGGTCATTTCGAAAAATCCTTTCTTAGTGAGCACCTAGAAGCCAAGAGGAACATATGTGGCAAATTTCAAGTTTGTAGGCTTTACGGTTCTGCAGATTTCGTGATTACAGCCAGTGGTAGGATTCTGCCGGGGTTCAGCCGAACCATTTGTTAAATTGCTGACTCGTCCTGCCCCTTGCCCCGCCCCTCCGCACCACTGGGCGAGGGGTGGGCGAGCCAGCAATTTAACAAACGGTTCGGTGTTTTTTTATAATTTTATTGGCCTCACAGCTGCCACGGGACTTCAAAGGGCCGTCCTACAGCTGATCAGTATTAAAAGAAAACAAATGAGTAGACCTACCCTTGCAAAAATAAATGGGTAGACCCAGTGGTGGGATTCTACTTTGGTAGAACTGATGGTTAAATAGTTAAGCCAGTAGTTGCCAAAGTGGGCGGTACCGCCCACTGGCGGGGGGCGGTGGAATGCTTTAGGGGGCGGTAAGAGGCAAGGGGGGTGGCAGGAGGAGCTAAATAGCAAGGAGGGTGGCCCCCACCCTTTGGCCTGTGCCTGGCAGCACTTACCTCCTTGCAAGCAAACAGCAAGAAAAAACAGCCCCTTCAGCTTCAGCATTGGTTAATTAGCACAAGTTGATTAGATCGGCCTCCTGACTCTCAGCTGATTTGCTCTCAGCTGTTTTGCCAGGGCTCTGTTGCTATCTGCAAAGGGTGCTGGAGCAGATTTTTTTCCCCCCTAACTATGCTGAAAAAGCAAAACTGAAAGTAAAGCAGGGTCTTTGCTGCAACGTGACAAAATGAGGCAGAGAGATATTTCTTTTTCTTTTTCCTCACCAAAAAAGGTAGGAGCAAAACTGCAAACAATGGGAAATTTAGGGCAAAAGAGGAGAGTTCAAGATTTTAAAACACAAAAGAAAAAAAGTTCTATTTAACTAGGGAATTGTAATAATTGAGATACTATTAATTGTATATTGTGTTGAAAGCAGAAATGGTTAAATTGTGGTTTGGAGGAATATATGGGGGAAATTATTTGGTTTTTTATTATTGGTAAATATAATTAATTGATTTGTAAGAAATTGGATTGCATGGAAATAATTGGATAAAATTATTCATGTTCATATTGATTAATATACAAAAAAGATAGTTATATAACTAAATGATTTATATTAAAATGTTGAATTTATATTAAACAACTGTAATATTACATAATTAACCAATGTGAGGATGGATATAAAAATAGAAGACAATGGGAAGGGGTATAATATAGAATAGAAGGGAAAAATTGAATTTGATTAAGATTAGAGATGAGGATGAAGGGTAATATTGTTTTTTTAAAAAAATAGATGAGGAATAAATACGGCAAACAGGAAATATAGAAATTGTAAATTTAATGAAATGACTAAACACTGTTTAAATTTGTGAACCCACCAAATACTCTGTTCAAAGAAAATACATTGTATGTTTGTATGTGTGTTTCTAATTATTGCTATTTATTCATATTTGTTCTCTTATATTCTTTAAAGTTTAACAATTCATTCTTTATCTTAATATCTTTATATTTGTTTGGGGTTGACTTTCTTCCCTTTCATCTTTTTTATTGTACAGCAATCTTTCTCCTCAAACCTACCACCTCTCTCTTTTCTTTCCTTCTTACTTTCTCTTCCCCCCTTCTTCTCCTCCCTACTTCCTATTCCTTTCTTCTTCTCCTCCTCTCTTCCTCCCTCTCTTACCCTCACTCCTACTCTAATTTCCCTTCCCTTCCTTCATCCCTCTCTATTGCTGTATCCTTTTATGCATATGGACTACTCAGAGGGCTGAAAAAGTTATTTTTGACTGGTCCTCGCACTTTTGACCAGTTCTCGAACTTACGACTATCCTCACATTTTACGTTTTTGCCCTATCTTATCACCATGGTGAAGAGAAGCAGTTGTGAAATGAGTGACATGGTTGTTAAGAATGCTACAATGGGCATAAATGATGACCAGTCATAAGTGCGAAGACCGGTCAAAAGTGTGAGGACCTATCAGAAATCACTTTTTTCAGCCCTCTGGGTAGTCCTTTTGTGCATATGGACTCAGAGGGACGAAAAAGTTATTTTTGACTGGTCTTCGCACTTTTGAACAGTCCTCGAACTTACGACTGTCCTCACATTTTACGTTTTTGCCCTATCTTGTCACCATGATGAAGAGAAGCAGTTGTGAAATGAGTGACATGGTTGTTAAGAATGCTGCAACGGGCATAAATGTGAGGGTGGTCATAAGTGCAAGGACCGGTCAAAAGTGCGAGGACCAGTCAGAAATGACTTTTTTCAGCCCTCTGAGTAGTCCCTATGCAGCTAGCCACACCCACCCGGTCACATGACCAGCTAGCCACGCCCACCCAGTCACATGACCACCAAGCCACATCACCAACTAAGCCACGCCCACAGAACCGGTTGTTAAAAAAATTGAATCCCACCACTGATTACAGCATGAGTGGTTTTCGCGTTTATATATATAGATTACTCCTGTTCATTAAGTAGGATCATAGTTCAGTGTCCTCCATTGATGGTGGCCTGGACATTTGGTAGTTAGGTTTCTAATGTTATGATATCTTTCTAACTTTTTCTACTGAGATGGTCACAGTTCAACTTCCTTACAGTTAGACTAACTTCACTCTTCTATTTTACAAGGATTTTGCAGTAGGAGTTCCTCTTAAAAAAAAAAGGTTGGGTTGCTAAATTTATTTACTATGCAGTTATGAAACATATTTATAACTTCCCTCAAATAGCATGTTTTCATGTTACTAGAAAAAATGGTGACATAAAAACAGTGACTAGTTTTGGCTAACTTAATAAGTTTATTTTGGGATCTGCATCCCCTTGAGTCCAGTCCATCGTTGTGTAGGGATAGCTAATCTGATTCTTTATAACCTAGTAGTATAATGCATGGTAGTATTACACTAAGCTTGCAGCAAACAGCCAATAAATCCTTTCTCTTTACTTTACTTTAAATTACTCTGTCTGCAAGGTGGAAGTCACCTACAGTGACATCTGGTAGATCTGAGAAACTGATTTAAATTAATTCACATATTTAAATTCCATAGCTCAAAGTAAGAAATAATGCAATCATTTCAGTTAAGAATTAGGGTATTTTGATAATCTACATTTATCTCCTCAAGCATAAATATCTATGCTATTTTACAACTCAGTACAAAAGTAAATATACTATGACTTTTGAAATATATTTTTCTAAGCTTTAAAGATACAATCAGTTGCTAAATGACAGTCATATAATAAAGCACTTCAATTTCCTATCCAAATGCTCATTTTCCTTTGAGACAAGTACAAATTTGGAAATACTCTTTCATATACCCCATTTATTTTGTACCCTTCAAGCTATTCAACTATTTAAAGGTATACTCCTCTGCATGTTTGCTTGATCAGCCTGCATGAAAATTACCACTTATATATAAAAATAAAGAGAACAATTCCAACTGTTTCTCTTAGATTTTATATAAAAAGTTAGTATATACGCCATTTAAGAAAGCTATCTTCTGAAACAGAAAAAGATTTAGAGCACATAGTATTATGGGGAAAAAATAGCTTTGTACCATACCTTTTTGCTCTTTTTGCTTGTTTTATTTTACGGATTTATTGTGCTGCCCTTCCTTCTATGCTCCTGTCACTTATTGATGTTGCTACGGTTATAAGTAGATATTCATTCGACAGCTTGTCAGGCAGGAACTTCAGCAATTCTCTCTTTTTACCATCACACGGTACCTTTAACCCAAAGGAGGGGAAAATAAAAAAAGAATTTATTTGTAAATTAAGAACCATCGACTTTCAGGCAGGAAGAATCATCTTATACCTACAGGAGAATTTTTAATCTGATGACTTTGAGTTATTTTCCAATGAAGCATTAAATACTGAATGGCTACAATGGCCTATACAAGCTGCCATTCATGAGAAGGACGCGGATGGCACACAAGCCACTTGAGTGAACAATGAGAACAATTGAATACTGTTTTATTATGCCAAGTTGATTGTAAATGAATAATGCATACATAGAGATAACGGCTCCCCAACACCAATCTGAACAATATGGAAACAGGCTGTCCCAAAAACATTCACGCTTGCAGTTACGATTAAATTACCGTATACTCTTTGGATCATGATGGGAAAGAAAGAGTAAACACAAAAGTAAAAAATGAAAACAGCTCTGTAGTTGGAAAGACACAAAATTGCTCACTTAGAGGACAACCAAGTATGATGGAGGCACAAATCTTTTTCATCAGACAATTGTAAAGGAGAGACAGTTTCAAGACAGGGACTTTACCTGTTCCTGCTCTGACAATCTATACATGCAAGAATTCTCTACTACCTTCTGTAGTATTTGAAAGACAGGTCCTTAACTTGTTTATGGATAATATTATTTCTAAGTACAGTTCAGTTGAAATCTGAAACAAATACGCCAGGTGTTCACAAGACAGCAATCCACATGCAGGCGTTGCACTGATTTCCCCTTCCAAAATATCAAATAATACTCCTTGAGAAACTTCTCATTAATAGTAATGAAGGGGCTGGTTTCGTATATTTGGACTTTAGAATAGAATAGAATAACAGAGTTGGAAAGGACCTTGGAGGTCTTCTAGTCCAACCCCCTGCTCAGGCAAGAAACCCTACATCATTTCAGACAAATGGTTATCCAATATCTTCTTAAAAACTTCCAATTTTAGAGCATTCACAACTTCTGGAGGCAAGTTGTTCCACTGATTAATTGTTCTAACCGTCAGGAAATTTCTCCTTAGTTTCCGAGCTCTGTTTTTGGCTGCAACAGCCTCAACTCTCTGCCAGCGAAAATGGAGCTTTAAATTCAGAAGCATAGACAAAAGCAGGATAGGCTTTATTTCCACTAGCAATTTGGGGGAAAAAACCTCCGTATTGTTCCTTGTTCTCTTCTGCCTTGTCAGAAGTTATATGTGTTTGATTCTTCTTCTTTGCTCAATGAGTAGTAGATAACTAGTAGATTCTCTCCCTTTGGAAATGCCTTTCTTTATAGGAAGAGGGAAGTTACATTAACAATCATGTAAAGTACTGTCGGGTTTTCATAAAATACCACCACTTCCTCTTTAGAAAAAGAATGATTTACTGTAAGATTGCAATCCTTAATATTCTGAACAAAATGCGTGATTGAAGTTTCCCTCGTCATGTTGCCAGCTTTTGGAGGCGGTGATTGTTTCCCAGCGAGGTAGATTCTGTTTGTTAGTTTTCAGTTCACATCACTGCTTCTCTTTTGAAATGTATGTTATTAGCACAGTTGGAGCCTGTTTCTTATATGTCATGAACCCAGTTTTGACATATCTTCCTAACAACTATTTTGGGATGCTGTATGGCTAGAACAATTGTCAACCTTGAGGGGGAGAAGAAGTAAGGCAAATTCGGGCAGAAGCAGAACACATTAAGAATTTATTAAAAGGATCTCACTGATAAAAGTTGCGCCCACCATTTTGCTAGGAGCTTAGAGCTAAACAGGAAGAAAAAACAAAAAAATAAAATAAAATATTTCACCGTTACATTTTTGTAAATGTGCACAAATGCCAATCTCACAAGATCTGCTCTTTCAGCACTTCATTAAACAACTTGTTTCTTTCTTCATAATCACACTCAGCATCACCTTCAGGCTGTTTCAAGGGTTTTTGCCAGAGTTTTATTTTAAAAAGCATATTTTAAATATATTATCCTTACATATTTTAAAAAGGTAGAATTAGTGTGAAAATCTTGATTTGCTGAAAAAAAGTCAACCCGTACTGTATGTTGCCTCAAAGCTCTCTTTTCTTCCGTTCACTCTTGCCCCCCAAACTTACTTTTGCTATCGTATCTGGGATGAAAAAACTAAGCCAATGACTCCAGAGACATATAGAAAACTCTAACTCACTCCTTCCATGTAATGGTCATCAGGATTTTTCAGCCTAAAGTGACTAGCTGTATTCTACAGTAACCCAGAATAACGGAGAAAGCGATAAATCAAATATATAAGAACTGAAATAAACAAGAGAAGTAAGTACACAAAATGAATTCCCTTCTCACCAGTTCACATTTTGCGCTCATGTCCTCAATATTAGTTCTTTCTTGATAACTTTTACCCTTCTTCTTCTCCCTCTTCCTTCTCTTTCTTTCCTATTAGGGTTCATATGGACTGTTTCCTTAGCCAATATGTCAACACATGCTTGAATTCACTTGTAGAAAAGCAGCTTCTCCTTTTGTTTGGGTCTTGTATGGTGAGCGTCCTTCCACATCAGTAAGCAGTGGCTTCCCTCACAGTGGGAACTTTCCAGTAATTGCCAGAACAAATTAAATTGAAGCTTATCTGTTCTTTTCCCCTTTCACTTAGAAAATGAAGGGAACTGAAGAACAAGACCAATTTTCACTGGTGACAATATAGTACAGAAATAGATTAGATACAGTTTAGTGCAAAGTCATGTTGTGGACATGTTCTGCTGTTTTCCAAAGGAAAAATGCATATTATGTCATCAACATTTGCACTTCTATAACTATCTGGTTTATTTCCGCAACCCAACAAGACAGATACAGACTTCAGAGGATAATTAGAACTGTAGAAAAAACAATTGCTATCAACCTGCCTTCCATTGAGGACCTGTATACTGCACGAGTCAAAAAGAGGGCTGTAAAAATATTTACAGACCCTTCGCATCCTGGACCTAAACTGTTTCAATGCCTACCCTCAAAATGACGCTACAGAGCACTGCACACCAGTACAACTAGACACAAGAACAGTTTTTTCCCAAATGCCATCACTCTGCTAAACAAACTATTCCCTCAACATTGTCAAACTAGTTACTAAGTCTGCATTATTATTAATCTTCTCATCATTCTTATCACCCGTTTCCTCCCACTTATGACTGTATGACTGTAACCTTGTTGCTGGTATCCTTAAGATTTATATTGACTGTTTCCTTTTGATTATCATTAAGTGTTGTACCTTACGATTCTTGATGAATGTATCTTTTCTTTTATGTACTCCAAGAACGTATGCACCAAGACAAATTCCTTGTGTGTCCAATCACACTTGGCCAATAAAGAATTGAATTCCATCAAGCTGGCCTGACCTAAACTTTTCCTCTTTTTAAATGGGAATTTTTAAATTTGGTTTTAAATTGGGGTTTTAAAATGGTTCAGCCAAATTTATTTAATTTGTTTTATCTCTATTTTAAATTTTGTATTTATATGTTTTATTTTATGGCTGTTCACCGCCCTGAGTCCTTCGGGAGTAGGGCGGTATACAAATTTAATAAAATGAAATGAAATGAAAATTGAATTGAATTGAATTGAATTGAATTCTATTCTATTCTATTCTATTCTGTTCTATTCTATTCTCTCATTTTGGAATGGTCTCCTCATGCTGGAAAAAAATGCCAAACTATTTTTTTTAGGTAGCTACAAATCCATCCATTCAAAAGTAAGTAAAACAGTCACAAATAATTTACTCTTATATTGGAAATATGACTTATTTGGCAAGTCCACTGTTTTTCCAATGGGAAAATAATAGGCTGATGACCATAAAGGGACAGTCATTCATGCTGACAATAGAAATGGGGATCTATCAATGATAAACTAAATAGATAGTTGGGTGTGACAGACAAAAGGAAAACGGTATGGTATTCTGGCAAACAAGTCACTAGTATAGTTTATTATGAGTTCTTCATTTCTTTGTTCCCACTCATTCTTTTTCATTTCCAAGGAAAGTCAATACTTTTGTGAGATGTTATTCTAGTACCATCTACTGAAGTGTTTTCCTATTGCTCTTTGCATTGATTTTTTTCTACCATTGATGGTAACACTTTTCAGCCTGGACCTCCGCAGAGATACAGTTAGTTGGTTATTGGGTTAACTCTATCCCAGCTGTCCCAAATAAGGTGTGTGCGGGGGGGGGGGGAAGAGCTAAAGGGGGTATTGTGACATTAGTGAATACATCCTTGCAATTTAAATGTGTATTACTGCCATTTTTGCAGCCATGGGTTGTGACTACCTTACTCTTATTTAAACAGGTGGAGCTTTTTAATATCTACATTCCCCTACTCAATAAGAATAATTTGATCAACAAGATTTGGGACGGCATAAAAGATTTTATCCTGGGCTGCTTAGATAAATATCCTACAGCAGCAATAATTATTGGGGGGGACTTAAACACTAGGATGGGCCCAAATGATCAAGCATTATTTAATCCAGGGGTCACCAACCTTTCGGACCCCAGGGACCACTAAATTCATAATTTTAAATCCCGTGGACCACTAATATGATCTGCCTAATGAATGGCTTGGTCGGCGTGGCAAGATGGTCATGTGACTGGGTGGGCGTGGCCAACTCGATGTCACACATATCGAGGGGCGCCTTGCCAGCCTCTACTTGCCACTCCTCTCCTGCCCATCCGGGCTCCTTAGGGCCCCAACAGGAAGCAGTTGCTGGAGCTAAGCAGCTACCACGAGAAAGAGTTGGCAAAACAGCTGGCTCAGTTCAAATTGGATCTGACTGAGAAGGAGGCTCAGCAGAAGCACCTTGCTGAGGACTACGAGCATAGGCTTTCCAAGCAGAGGAAAGACCTGTGGGAGTGCAAGGCCAGGTACCAGTGCCTGGAGGCTCAGCGGGCTGAGAGGGTCAGTCAGTTCCAGGCCATGAGGCAGTCCCACTGGAACAAGGCCCTCCAGCTCTTTGCCACCGACGGCACTTCCCTCCAGCCTTTGCCCAAAGCCCCACACCAGGAG